AAAGCATCGTACGTCCAAATAGAACCAGTATTGTAATTAATGTTCGGCGCTCAGTATGTATATCTGATTGTAGTTTCGGAAACGTACGTACAATATAATGTATCTACAATTTTACGATACACCTGCATGCAGAGTGTGCCACCGAGTATAGTCGATTATATAGTCCTAGGTCAAAGTTTAGATATCATATGATGTAAAATGTGTGTTGGCCTTGTAAATGAATTGCTCCAAAACAAATGCTGTTTAGAATGTGTCTCAGTCAGTATAGCTAGTACAATATTATTAGAACGTGAAGAATCAGATATACAACGCGTTATTTCATATCACGTCTCATACGTCAGAATAAAATACACAGTGAGTTGAGGAGTCCAATGCTGACACATTTAATTATGAAGCGAAAGTGATTAACAATAGGTACGAACATAACAGGTATACCGATGCGCCTCTGCTGATTGATTCTTTGTCACAGAATATAGTAAGTTGAATTTATTTGGCTGCCGTAAGATAAATCTGACTGTGGGTCGCGAGAGAGTGTCAACTTGTTTTTATGCGTGTTTGTCCCAGTATCCATTAGCAACAACGTCTGAAAAGTAAACAAACGCGAATTACAACTACGTTTAGTGTTACTCCTATTCGCTTGTTTGTAGTTAATAGGTGGTGTATGACGATGTCGACTATTAACCAGGGGGTAGGAGAATCTGACTTCTCCCGTGTCTAGTGGACTCGTATTTATTTTTTGAGTAGGCCTGGATATATTCGAGTTACAATGTGTTTTTCGGTGGCACTTTTGTCAATACACAGTGGCTGCCGCTATCATATTACAAAACCAAGATATTCTTACAGGAATGCGGCGTTAAATACAATTCATATGTAAAAATAACAGGCCGCACGTATGTCTGTAAGAATTATCAAATATACGTATATCAACGCAGTCAACAACACATTTAATTACATGCCATATATATATGAGGTCAGACTTTAATCGCGTAAATTTAAATGTCTTACCGCTAACAATATGAACGCATTTAGTGTGTTTGAAATAATACTTGCAGGTCAACGTTTGCAGAATGATTCACCAACAGCACGTATTCGCTATGCAGGCCCCTGTGGTCCAGCAACAACAGCAAATAGTCACTGTACAGTCACCGGTGATCCAGCAACAACAACAACAACAAGTACACACTAATAATAATACAAACCGGCCACGATATAGTCAGAAGACAGCGACGGCGTTGGCTATTTCACAAATAGTACTTGGCGTGTTGGCACTGGTATTTGGGATTGTCGCAATTGAAATAGGGTGCACAAAGAGCCACATTGGTAGTGGCATTTGGTGTGGGTTATTTGTAAGTACAATGTATATACATAATATATACAGTCCACTAGTATATGCATACTCATTAATTATTCACTTTATTATTAGTGGTGGAGTTAAAACCTGTTTACTTGACATTCACAATTATACGATATCTGTCTTGGCCATTGAATGGTTTGGTATGCAACTAAACCACCATGGAAAAGTTTTGTTGTTCGCCTCACTACGTATACCGCATGCTATACGGATATCCGATCGAATAATCCTCGAACACTTTTCACCAGTTTGTAATAATATTATCATCAATTTGTTTCAGTTCCTACTGACTGGATGCATAGGATGTGTGTCTGCTTCGCGAAAGACGCAGTCGTCTTGGGTACGTAAAATCGGACAAGGGTTGCGCGTATAATCAACGCGCAAGGTCGTCACGCAGCGCGAGTTTGAATTTTCTTGAAAACAAGCATTTTTCACGCATTAT